TTTTGCATTTCCATATACATTTTAAAACCAGTTTTTCAGTTTCTCCAAAAAGACCAGCTCAGCTGGGATTTTTATTGATATCTGTGTTTGATCCATAGATCAATTTGGGGAGAATTGACAACATTGAGCTCTTTGACTTATGAAGGTAGTGCATCTCTTCATTTATTTAGGTCTTTTAATTTTTCTCAGGGGTCTTTTGTAGTTTTCATTATAGAAGTTCTGTACATTTTTCATTAGGTTTATTTCTAAGTACTTTATATTTTTTAATATGATTATAAATAGTATTTTAAAATTTCATTTTCAGGGTGCCTATGTGGCTCAGTTGGTTGGGCGTCTGCTTTCGGCTCAGGTCAGGGTCCTGGGTTCGAGTCCCATTTTGGACTCCCTGCTCAGCACGGAGTCTGCTTCTCCCTCTGCCCCTAACCCTGCTTGTGCTGTCTCTTGCTATCTCTCTTTCTCAAATAAATAAATAAAATCTTAAAAAAAATAAAATTTCATTTTCAGTTTTTGTTGCTATTATAAAGAATACAGTTTATTTTAGGGGCGCCTGGGTGGCTCAGTCGTTAAACATCTGCCTTTGGCTCAGGTCATGATCCCAGGGTCCTGGGATCGAGCCCCACATCGGCTCTCTGCTTGGTGGGAGGCCTGCTTCTCCCTCTCCCACTCCCCCTGCTTGTGTTCCTTCTCTCGTGGTCTCTCTCTCTCTTTCTTTCAAAATAAATAAATAAAATCTTAAAAAAAAAAGAATAGTTTAATTTAGTTTGTATCCTGTGACCTTGCTAAATTAATTTATTCTAGTAGGATTTTTTTATTTGGTACATTTCTTAGGGTTTTCTACATATACAGTCAATCATAGGGCTTACAAATGAAGACATTTTTAGTTCTTTCCAATATTTGTGCTGCTTTTTTAAAAAAGATTTTATTTATTTATTTATTTGAGAGAGAGAGTGAGAGAGAGAGCACAAGAGGGTGGTGAGGTGCAGAGGGAGAAACAGGCTCCTCACTGAGCAGGGAGCCTGATGTGGGGCTCCATCCCAGGATGCTGGGATCATGACCTGAGCCAAATGCAGACCCTTAACCACCTTAGCCACCCAGGCTCCCCTATTATCTATTTGAGATTTTATTTTTAAGTAATCTCTAACCTAATGTGGGGCTTGAACTCAAAACCGTGAGATCCAGAGTTGCGTGCTCTACTGACTGAGCCAGCCAGGTGCCCCTATCTTTCTGCATTTATTGATAACACACAATTTCCTCATTTATTTTGTTAACGTGGTAGAAGACATTGATTTTTTAATTTAAACTTTTTTTTTTTTTAAAGATTATTTATTTATTTGACACAGAGAGAGCACAAGCAGGGGGAGCAGCAGAGGGAGAGAGAGAAGTAGGCTCTCCGCTGAGCAGGGAACCCGATGCAGGGCTCGATCCCAGGACCTGGAGATCATGACCTGAGCTGAAGGCAGACGCTTAACCGACTGAGCCACCCAGGCGCCCCTAAATTAAACTTTTTATTTGAGATAATTATAGATTCGTATGCACTTATAAGGAGTAATACAAAAAGAGTCCATATACCCTTCCCAGTGTTCCTCATTGATAACACTTTCATAATCTATAATACAGTGTCACTACCAAGATACTGACATTGATGTGGTCAAGGTACAGAATTCCCATTAGTACAAGAATCCCTCATGTTGCCCCTTTTATTTTTTTTTAATTTTTTAAATTTTTTTAATTTATTTGACAGAGAGAGACACAGCGAAAGAGGGAACACAAGCAGGGGGAGAGGGAGAGGGAGAAGCAGACTCCCAGCTGAGCAGGGGGCCTGATGCGGGGCTTGATCCCAGGACCCTGGGATCATGACCTGAGCCAAAGGCAGACGCTTAACGACTGAGCCACCCAGGTGCCCCGTTGTTGCCCCTTTTATAGCCATCTTCATTTCCCTCCTGCCTCCACCCCTCCCTAAACCCTGGAAACCACTCATCTCCCTATCTATAGTTTGTCATTTCAAGAATGTTAACACAGATTGGATCATATAGAATGTAACTTTGGGGGTTGGCTTTTTAACTTTTGCTCTGTAGTATGGATGTACCACAGTTTGTTTAACCATTCACCCATTGAAGGTCATCTGGGTTTCTAGTTTGGGGCTATTTGTGTGAACTTAAGTCTTCCTTTCTTTGGGATAAATGACCAGTGGTGCAGTTGCTGGGTCATGTAGTATTTGCATGTTTATATTTTTTTTATAGATTGCCAAATTGTTTACCAAAATGGCTGCATCATTTAACATTCTCATCAGCAATGTATGAGGAATCCAGTTTTTCCACTTCCTTTCCAGGACTTGGTATTGTCAGTATTTTTTATTTTAGCTATTCTGGTGGGTGTGTAGTGATACCTCACAGTAGTTTTAATTTGCATTTCCCTAATGGTTAATGATGTTGATCATCTTTTCATCTGCTTGCTTGCTGTCTGTATACCTTCTAGGTTGAAATGTCTTTTTGTGTTTTTTGACCTTTTTTTTTTAAATTGGATTATTATTATTTTTTTTACTACTGGATTTTGAGAGTTCTTCATATATTCTAGATATTAGTCCTTTGTCTTATTCAGATACGTGGTTTGCAAATATTTTTTCGCAGCCTGTAGCTTGTGTTTTTATCCTCCTAACAGGGTCTTTTACAGAACGAAAGTTTTTAGTTTATAAGAACTCCAGTGTATCAGTTTGTGTTTTTATAGATTATGCTTTTGGTATCTTAAGAACCTTTTGCCTCACCCTAGATCTTAAAGGTTTCTCTTATGTTTTCCCTAAAAGTTTTATGGTTTGACATACTACATTTAAGTCTATAGTCATTTTTAGTAAATGTGTAAATTAAGAGACTTAGGTCAAGGTTTATTTTTTACTGATGGATATCCATTTGCTCCAGCACCATTTGTAAAAGCTGTATTACCTCTGTTGAATTACTTTTGCACTTTATCAAAGTGAGTTCGGGGCCTATTTTGTGTGGGTCTATTTCTGCGTTTTCTACTCTATTCCATTGATTTATATATCCTCCCACCTATACCACGTAGTCTTGATTACTATACCTATATAATAAGTCTTGACATTGGGTAGACTGATTCCTCCCATTTTCTTGTCAAAATTGATTTAGCTATAAAAAAGTTACAGTTTGTATGATTTGATGTCTAGGTAAATATTATCTTTTCTATTTGCTCTTTAAAGCAATTATAAAATTAAATGATATTGTTATTCATTAATATGCATGCTCCTACTAAAAAAAAGGTAAAATTTTAAATTTCAGTGTAGTTAACATACAGTGTTATATTAGTTTGAGGTGTACAGTATAGTGATTCACCAATTCTATAAATAGTGCTCATCAAGATGAGTGTACTGGTGGCGCCTGGGTGGCTCAGTCGTTAAGCGTCTGCCTTCGGCTCAGGTCATGATCCTGGGGTCCTGGGATCGAGCCCCACATCGGGCTCCCTGCTCCGCGGGAAGCCTGCTTCTCCCTCTCCCACTCCCCCTGCTTGTGTTCCCTCTCTTGCTGTCTCTCTCTCTGTCAAATAAATAAACAAAAATCTTTTTTTTTTTAAAGGTTTTATTTATTTATTTGAGACAGAGAGAATGAGAGACAGAGAGCATGAGAGGAGGAGGGTCAGAGGGAGAAGCAGACTCCCCGCCGAGCAGGGAGCCCGATGCGGGACTCGATCCCGGGACTCCAGGATCATGACCTGAGCTGAAGGCAGTCGCCCAACCAACTGAGCCACCCAGGCGCCCCCCAATAAACAAAAATCTTAAAAAAAAGATGAGTGTACTCTTAATCCCTTTCACCTATGTCACCCATCTCCCACCCACCACCTCCTCTTTGGTAACCATCTGTTTCTTCTGTATAGTTAAGAGTCTGTTTTTGATTTGATCTCTTTTTTCCCCCCCTTTCCTTGTTGTTTTGTTTTTTAAATTGCATGTATGATTGAAATCGTAAGGTATTTGTCTTTCTCTGACTGGCTTATCTTTTTTTTTTTTTAAGATTTTATTTATTTATTAGCAAGAGAGAGCAGTGGGGTGGAGGGGGTAGAGGGAGAGGGAAAAGCGGACTCCCCGCTGAGCAGGGAGCCAGATGCGGGCCTAAATACCAGGACTTTGGGATCTTGACCTGAGCTGAAGGCAGACACTTAACCAATTGAGCCACCCAGGCGCCCCGTGACTGGTTTATTTTGTTTACCATTATACATTCTAGCTCCATCCATGTTGTTGCAAATGGCATGATTTCATTCTTTTTTTTTTTATGTCCAAATAATATTCCATTGTGTGTGTGTGTACACACCATATCTATTCTTTGAGTAAATACCCAGTAGTGCAATTACTGGATCATAGGGTAGTTCTATTTTTAATTTTTTGAGGAACCTCTGTGCTGTTTTCCACAGTGGCTGCATCAGTTTGCATTCCCATCAAAAGTTTTATTTATTTATTTATTTAAAAGATTTTATTTATTTATTTGACAGAGAGCGTGTGCACAGCAGGGGGAGCGGCAGGCAGGGGGAGAGGGAGAAGCAGGCTCACCGAGCAAGGAGTCCATGCGGGGCTCGATCCCACGACCCTGGGATCATGACCTGAGTTGAAGGCAGACGCTTAATGACTGAGCCACCCTGGCGCCCCGCAAATAAATCTTTAAAAAAAAAATAGAAAGATTAATATATTAGAGAGCATGCATGCACACAGGAGCGGGGGGAGGGGGGCAGGCAGGGAGGGATAGAGGGAGGAGAAAAAGAATCCCAAGCAGACTCCCAACTGAGTTCAGGGCCCTATCTCATGACCTGGGGTTCTATCCCACAACCCCAAGATCATGACCTGAGCCGAAATCAAGAGTCAGATGGTTAATGGACTGAGCCACCCAGGCGCCCCCAGAATGTGTATTATTAAGCAACACCTGGTTCAGAGCCTGACATAATATATGCTGAATTTAATTAAAGGTTTGTCTGTTTCTCAAGATTTGCATGGCTCCTTCTCTCTACAGTGGTCTTACTTCAGAAACATGGCTACGGATTGGCTGGGCAGTATTGTGTCCATCAACTGTGGAGATAGCTTGGGGGTCTATCAGGGAAGAGTGTCCGCAGTGGATCAGATCAGCCAGACCATTTCTCTCACCCGGCCTTTCCACAATGGAGTGAAGTGCCTCGTGCCAGAAGTCACCTTCAGGTGAGTGTCCTGACTGATTTCTTCAAGTCTAGTCTGGTGGTTTGTGGAGCTTGAATCTAGGTCCAGTTGCCAATATTCTCTTACATAGGGCTGCTTTTGAGGAGTGTCTTGTCAGGGGTGAGATTTTTGCAGTCTTAACGCTTATAGTGTAGCTGCTGTTTCAGTATAGACTTTGTGTCCTAATTAGCTTTCAGCTAATGAACTAGGGTTTGTGGAACCTTTTTCTTATCTTCGTCAAGCACTCAATATTCTTATTTAAATGGGTCAAATTCAGATTCATCTATTTTTTTAGGCTTTTATTATTTGTGTTTTCTTATAGCTAAGGCCTTTGTTGATCTCCCCCCGCACACATAAATGTGTCTCTTTTTGTAGATTTGTATTATAATTTTCTTCAGAAGCGCACTGTTGCCAGTAGCTGATGTCCTTAGTTACAGGAACGTATGTTTCTTAGTGTTTGCGGATCTCAAGTTCAGTTGTCTTCATATCCCTCTTTTCACCAGTTTGTCACAAAATCTCCCATTTTTAGGTTAAAATGGCAACAACAACAACAACAACAAAACTGTCAGACAAGACTTTCTGAACAATACCTTCACTTAATCTTTTCTGTAGGAGTATCCATTATTAATGTCTTACCCCTTCTGAAGTCTCAATAGAAGGCGTAACCTCTGTGTTCAAGGCTACCCTTATCCCATATGCTTCATATACTATCCTTTTCTGTCTCCTTTGACACCGTTCTCTTTTGTGTCTTCATTTTCAACCTTCATACCTGTTTTCCTCTTCGCATTCTAACGTTCCCAGCCTTCCCCCACAGTTCACACCCTCCTACATACCCACACCCACTTACACACAGGCACACCCGCACACCCACACACCCTCCACAGCTTGCTTTTGCCATTAGGTGTTGCCCTGTCATTTCCCTTCTCTTTATACCAACAGTTCTTTTCAGAGCAGAATAGTCTGCTTTCATTCCCTTTGTGGCCTCATTCTCTAGTCCTTCCTTACCCCCACCGTTACTTTTTTCTAACTTTATCATCTTGTTGAACTAGCTCTTGCCAAAGTTATAAATGACCTAATAGACAAATTCAGTGGCAGTGTCTTAATGTTAACTTTATTCAGATGCTCCCTAAGTGTTGAAGTGCCCTCTTTAATTTCTCTGTCACCCCTTTGGGTTTTCTTTCCATGTATTCCTCCATTCCTTTACATCCCCCCGGCACCACATTCCTTTTCTTCTACTCACTTTTTAAGATTGGTTTATTCAAGTTTTATTTTTGATTCTTTTCTTAGTCTGTAATCTCTCTAGACCATTTCATATGTACTTCTTACATTAATGAGACTCCAAATCTTTAAGACCCATTATCTGAACTCCAGACACTTATTTTGTCTATTGGCCATTTCCAGGTGGATATCCCAGAAAATATCTTATAAGATTTTCAAAGCTGAACTCATTATGTCACCTGCAGGTTTCTTTTTCCAAAGATCTGCCCTTAATTGGTGGCTAATGACACCTTTCCAAGTTAGAAACTTAGAATCATTGTAAATCCTTCTTTCTCTTTGTTCCTCATGTTCAGTTAGTTGCCAAACCCTAGGGATTCGAAATTGTCTCTTGGGTTCATCCTCTTCCTTTGCATTGTCACTTGTCCTATTCATCCCCTCTTATTTCTTGCCTGGTCTCCTAACGGGTGTTCCTTCCTCTAGTTTTTCCACCTTCTCTATAGCCACCAGAAAAATCTAACGTGATTATGATCTAGCCCCCGATTACCTCCACAGCTTTACCTCCTGGTGGCCCTCCACAAGCATCTTTACTGTTAGTAACACAATGACTTGGCAGTTCCTCAAGTGGGCCACATTTTCTCAATCTCTGAGCCTTGGTCTGTGATGCCCCTCTCCCTGCTATACTCTGCAGGGCCAACTCTTACTTTCCCTCCCCACTTAGGCTTTGCTTAAATGTTTCATCCATCTCTGCCAAAGTAACTTACATATTTTGCTTTTGGGAATCTCTGGTACCCTATACACACCTCTGTCATAGTATTTAACACTTTTGGTTGTCTACTTGTCTTTTCCACTGACCAGACTGTTCCTTTTTGGACATGTGTTGCTTTTCATCTCTATTTATTCCATTCCTAGCACAGGGCTTACCATATAGTAAGTATTGTATATACGCTCATTGAATGACAAAGTGTGTGAATGAATGAAAAAAAGAAAGCCATTGGGCATTCTGGAAATCTAAGATGCTGGTGATAGTTTTGTGATTAACAATAGGTCTCTTTAAAGGCCAGTGCTGTGTCAGTTGACTGTTGGTGCCTGAGCCTTGTCTTTAAGTACTTTACCACCTTTCCTCATTTTTGTCTCTGATACTTCAATGAAATGGAGCCCTGCCATTAAGAGGTACAGATTTCCAGTTATAAGTAGGTAATAGGAATGTAAAGTACAGCATAAGGAATATAGTCATTAATATAAAATAACTTTATATGGTGACAGATGGTCACTAGACTTATTGTGGTGATCATTTCATGGTGTATATAAATATCAGATGACTATGTATACCTGGATTTGTATGTCAACTGTACTTCAGTTAGAAAAAAAAAATACAGCTCTGCAAAAGTGTAGCTGGTTGCTGTTGATCCCAATTTCATCATTTTTATTATTGTTAGACATTTTGTGGTGTGTTTTTTTTTTTTTTTTACATTGCCTGTATTTTTAATGTGGTAAGATATCCATAACATAAAATTTACCTTTTTTTTTTTTAAAAATTTTATTTATTTAACAGAGAGAGACAGACAGACTGAGGGGGAACACAAGCAGGGGAGTGGGAGGGGGAGAAGCAGGCTTCCTGCCAAGCAGGGAGCCCAATGCGGGGCTCGATCCCAGGATCATGACCTGAGCCGAAGGCAGATGCTTAACGACTGAACCACCCAGGCGCCCCAAAATTTACCCTGGGATCATGACCTGAGCCGAAGGCAGATGCTTAACGACTGAACCACCCAGGCGCCCCAAAATTTACCCTTTTAACCATTTTTCAGTGTACAGTTCAGTGGTATTAAGTACATTCACATAATGTGCAACCATCACCACTATCCATCTCCAGAACTTTCTATCCTCCCACATTGAAACTTCATACCCCATTAAAACGAACTACAGTCCCCCTTCCTCTAGCCCTGATAACCACTTTTTTACTTTCTTTCACTATGAATTTGACTATTCTAGATATCTCATATAAGTGG